TATGCACTCTGGGTTTGATTTTTGGCTCCACCACTTTCAGGCTGTGTGACCTTACTCAAGTTACTTCCCTTCTCTGTGCCTCCAGGTCCTCGCCCATTTCATGGGGATAATAATAGCACTTTCTCACAGGTTGATTTTGGATTCATTCAGCCACTAGAAAGAAAGCACTAAGCAAGAACTCAGTAAATATTAGCTATTATTATCTTTGCATAAAGCTCTCCAGATTATTCCCTCAGTCTGGATTCCCAGAGTGAAATCACCAGGTCCAAGGTAGAATTTTTTTTACTGTTCTTGATAGAAATGAATCAAGGTATGTGAGCTGAGATAAAAAGTCATTTCCTTGCCCTCCACGCCAACTGGCCACCTCCTCTCTTCTTTTGGAACTCCGCCCCCCACCCCTCCTCCCAACCTCCTCTGTGTGCCTTCGTGTGTGAAGGAGCCCACATCTTCTTTCTGGTCAGGGGCCAGATCTTACATGGAATGGGGGAGGAGGGAGGATGCTGGGTGGCAGAGGGAGTAACTGAAACAGGCAACCCAGCCTGCCTCCTTCCAGTGTTTGGGACCTGTCCTGAGTGAAGTTGACACTGAGGACTGTCCCTCATCCGTCCCTAAAGCTTTCAGACTGGGAAGTATGAGGGCCGGATGCCAGGACACACCTCACATGCCCTGCACAGGGGCACCTCTCTGTGCCCACTCCTGGGGGAGTGGAGGGAAGCAAGTGGGGAGCTATCTAGGCCCCCAGGCTGGGGTAGGAGGGGTAGAGGTGCTTGGCTAGGGTAACAGTAATCCTGATTTCTAAGCCCGACAGCAGGACATTTACTCAAAGTATTGCCTCACTTATGAATGTCTTCATATGAGATTCCGAGAAAGGTTTAAGCATTAACTCACTTTTAATCCAATGTTTGACAAATCACTTCGTTTTCAAAATGAGAGTGCAATTGCCCAAATTAGGATGCCTTGGACAAACTGGGGTGGGTGGTCTCTGCAGCCGGACCTGAAGCAGGCAGCCTGCAGGTCTAGAGACGGGGACAATCCAAGTGCCTTTTTTGTGCGCATACCTGTCTTCTCCTGACAGACCCTCAAAGCCCCCCTGGGCAACATGGGAGCGCTGAAAGAAAAACTTTGAGGGCTGCAAAATATGAAAAAAAAAAAAAAATCAGAGTTGAAATTGACAAATGTTTAATGAAATGCCTTCAGAAAGTAGCATGCCAACTTTAATATTTGTTAAGTCACATGCCATTATATTTGCAAACAATTTGTAAGTTGGATTTTTGACATGAGTTCCAGAATGTGCAACATGATTAAAGAAAAACTATAGCCAATAGTAAATGAGTTACTCATAGTCAAATAATCTCAAATGCAAATTTCTAAAAACCCCTTTAAAGCAAAGCAGAGTTATATTTAATGAGGGGGTGTGGGTGCATTTTAAGTGCAAGTGAGGGTGGGGCCTCCAAGAATCAGATGCAGGGTCTATAAAGGACTTACAATGTCTCAGCCCCACAGCCCCGCTCTGGGCCAGAGGGGTCGGCTCAGTTCTTGGTCCTGCTGTCACCTTCAGCTCTCCTGGCTCCCTAAATAGACCGGGCAGATACAGAACAGCTCCTACTGCCACTGGCACCTTCCCTGAATCTGTGCAATAGACACACACAACTGGAATTTCTGTCTCCTCTTTGTGGATGAGAGGCTGACCTGAGTTTAAACCTGAGTGTTCTGTTTATTAGTTGGGCAAGTCAGCCCTCCTCCCTGACTTCCCAGGCTTGGAGGACATATGCAAAGGAGAGTGACTGCCAATCCATTCCCAGCCTGGGTCCCAAGCTACTGTTGGGGTGTGCTGGTGTGTCTACTATGTGTTTGCCATGGCGGGGGAAAATACCTACAAGCACCTGGCATTGGATTGAGCTCTTTGTAAGCGTGAATGTACTTC